CTCTCAGACTGAAGAAGTCTCTTGGAGGAGAGACGAAACGTTTCATTAGAGAAGAACCCGTCCAGAAGACCTATACAATTTTTTTCTCATCTTTTATCATTTGATAAAAGGTAAGATGAGAATAACTTAGTGATTTCTGATCCAGGTGTTTTAGTTATGTGGTTTTGGTGGTATGGTTGTGAACGAGTTATGTTTAGTAAGACAAAATGTGACAGACACAAAAAAGGTTACTTTTGTGTTTTATCTGTAAATTAAATTGTTTCTTGGACTTTATTATTTTATTTAAATAGCATGCATCACACTTTCAAGAGACATTTACATAACAGAATAAAGAAATGAAGAAATTGGACCACCATAATTTAAGGTTTATAGTGTTGAGATTTGTAAAGTCAGTAAATTGAAATATTTCATTGTGATGAAAAGTTTATATGAAAACTTCATAAATTAAGAATAATAAATAGCTAAATCAATTGAATTGCTGTACAAAAAACCAAATACAGTATGTCACAGTGAAATCATCCATGGAGTCATTTGCTAATTGAAGACGTTCCAATATGCGGTTATTTGCTCTATTTTAAATTAAAAGTATATGATTACAACTATAAATACACTAAATGTGATTCCACATGTTATTATCATTGCCATTTTAAACAATCTTACAATTTTCTTACTTCTATTGTTTATTTTATGGTTTGTCATATTAGCTTTTATTGTTCTACTATTAAATGAACAGTTTATAAAGTAGTCCAGTGACTTAGGTGTTTCACATCTAACTGCACATTACTAACATACATTTAAGAAAACAGACAAAGAATTGTTTTAAAGATTTTTATTAACACACGGGAACAAAAGGCTTCATTTCATATACATTTTGTCTATGCCTCTTGGAGGCTGCCTCATGTTGCAAACTCAACAGGGAATCTGATGTATCATTCTGCTGACTTTTGTTGTAGCTTGGCAAGTTGGTACTGGCACCTATTTAAAATGTCTGTTAGCTTTGTTGCCCTCCATTCTGGTGGATACACTTTCCACGTTTCAGTATGTTCAGCGTCTGTCTCTTCATCACTCATCAGGCATGCAGACGACCCTTCAAGGTATTTGTACTCCTCATCAGTCAGAATGAAGCGACCAGCAGATCGTCATGATTTTAGGAGCTTCAACAGAAAAGACAAAGCATTTGTTATTCTTGATAATAGTTTTAGCCATGGGCCAATGAGAAGACTGACAGAAAATATTTGATCTGTCATTGCCAACAAAGGATATAACAAAATATTGACGTTAAATTTTATTCTCTCTCACACACACACACACACACACACACACACACACACACACACACACACACACACA